CTCTTCGTCCGGCAACCAACCACTAACCTGACCCTCTTCCCCTTCTTTTTCGGGTTTCCCAATCCAAAAACCACCACCACCACCCCACACCCACGGCACTGTACAAGCCAGGAAAAGACACTACACCTTGTGGAAATTAAAATGCAAGAACAAGGAAAAAACTAGCCGTTGTTAGCGTGTCACCTACGTCAGATATTGGCCAAGAGATTAGTGTGTTTCAAACTTAGTCATGACAGATATAAATACGGGTATGATACCGCACACATCACATACCGATACGGTAAAACCTAAAAACAATATGGATATGGTCCGAGTACATCTACAATAAACAGAGTATCCATTGCTTATTGATGTTATATCCGAAAAGAATAAGAGGTCTTGCCAGGAACATGGAAAATATGCAAGTAGCAAACTCGTTCACAAAACAAACAAGTAATTAATTATTGGGTAAATTTCACTAATACCCTTAAATTTAAGTCATATTTCACTGACACCCCCTCTAATTTGGTGTTAATTTTTAAAAATAATATTAAATTTTAAAAATAATATTAATTTGATAAAACTAAATATTAATTCAAAAAATTGAATGTTAATTTTATAAAATTGAATAACCATTCAGTATTGATTTGTTGAAATTGAATGTTAATTTGAAATTTAATCAAAAAAATTATGTTTGTTTGATAAATTGGAAGTTACATTGATGAAATTAAATATTAATTTGGTATTAATTTTATAAAATTAATATTGATTTGATGAGATTGAATATTAGTTTGCTGAAATAAAATAATATTTTTATACAATCTAAGTTCGATTTCATGTTAATTTGGTATTAATTAGATCAAATTGAATATTAATTTGGTAGTTAATTTGATGAAGTTTAATATGATTTTGATAAAATTGAATGTTAATTGATGAATTGAATGCTAATTTGATGAATGGGTACAATGCGAGTCAGCCATTCTTCTTCCAGACGTATATGTTTGAATGATCGTGAACTCTACCCAGTTGATCAGTTGCATGGGTCAAATCCTCCTATCTTCCTTTCAATCAGCTTGCTAATATAACAATTTCGTTAGTGCTTTGATCAGGCATCCCCTCTTAGTTTTGAGTAGGCAGAACCATTATGTTTTGATTTTTCTCCACATTCTTATCGGGGGATTCAGGAATTTGCCTATAATTTTTTCAATTGATTTTTCGATATAGAAAGATCTCTTTATTTCTTCACTGAACCTTACTAGAATTTCACTTTAAAAAAAAAGGATACGTACTAGACGGTGGACATTGATGGCTGTAAGTAGGAGCTAGGGTATTAAGTCTGCAACGGTTGCTTGAGAGTAGTGGTGGCTACTATCACCATGCCACATGGAATGGGCATGGGAAAAAGTAAGTCGGGCGAAGGAGGTGGTTTCATACTGGAGAATTAGGGATTAGTAAGAAGTCGGAAAAGTTATGGTTTTACCAAAGAATGTTAATTTGGAAACATTTAATGTTAATTTGATAAAATTAAATATTTATTTGGTGTTAATTTGATAAAAATATATATTAATTTTGTATTAATTTGAGTAAGGGTAATTAAGTAAAATGAGAGTTTTAGTAAAAGTAATTTAGTAAAATTCCGTATAATGTTAGGTCAATTAACAAATAAAAATTGACAAAGGTATGCAAGAATATTTTAGGAAACTAGAGAGGTTGGTGTCTGTGAAATATGATTTAAATCCAGAACTGTCAGTGAAATTTACTCTTAATTATTCTAGCAATGGGAAAAAACAACAAAAATAAAGATTAGGAATTTTGGGTCAGCACCAGCAGATTGCTTTATTGATTTTCGATATATAGTTATTGATGATGCACAAAATTGGTTTGCACACCACATATTAATTACGGAATATAAAATGCAGTAAAGTAGAGGGAGAGAGAAGACAAAATTTATAGTAGTTCGGTCAATATAACCTACGTTCACTTTGAATAGCAAGTGTCGTCGGAATTTTATTATCTCCGTTGGAGGGAGAGCACAAGATTACAAGCTTTGAGAGGGGATGAGAGAATTATGATCAAATGAGTTTCATGTCCCCCAAGTGTTGGCGGGACTTAAATTTTATAGTTGCCTCATAATAGATATTAATTAAATAGCTAATCAAGCAGTTATATAACGGGTTGAGGTGATTTTAACATTGATTAAATAGCTTGACGACCTCTCCTCTCCTTAACGAGAAAGGAAGTTATGATGCTCTCCAAAAGACTTGGTTAAATAATGAGGGAAGGTTGACCCTCTCCAAGCGGTGATGGTGAGGCTCATGGATGCTCCATTGGTGGCGTAGAGGAGGCTCTTGGATGACCCTTACTCCAAGGTGGTAGAGAAGACTCTTTGATGACCTTGCATACTTTCTATTGATGTTGCTCTTTGATTCTTGATGAGCTTGTCCGGGTTGATCGCAGTGAGCTGGACTTGCTAGATCTCTTAGAGATGGACAATAAACTCGGACTGAACTTATAATTTGAGTTAGGCCCTTGTGCTTGGCCAATCAGTTATAGTTTTAAATCTTAGTTAAAAGACCTTTAGATTCGTGTAAGACCATCTGCATGGAGACCTAAACCTTTATTTAAATTTGAATTAAAAAAAATAAAAAAATTGATTTAATATAAACATATCAAACAAAGAAATTTAAATTAAAAGAAGATAAACACTTTTTTAAATGAGAACAAACTAAAATTTTAAATAAGATAAATAGATCATTGGATCTTTAATGGACGATTGGGGAAAATTGTAAGGATTTGATTCTCCTTGGATTTAAGTTTTAAAAAAAAATTTCTTTTATTTTCTTTTATTTGGTATAAATATAGGTCTGGCATTAGAGAAAAATTTTATGAATTTTTTATCCTAATTTAAATTTGAATTTGAAAAAGGGAAAGGACCAAAGAGGTCTATACCAAATCAATCTTTTTATTTATTTATTTTAACTCAAATTTAGGTAAAGGTTTAACTTTCCATTAGAGATGGTTTAATTACAATTTTAGATACGAATGCTACTCATTGAAATGAGAGAGAAATACGAGCTTGAACTTACATCCTTGCCCTGCCGCGCATAGTGTTGACTGCCGCATCTCTAGAATCCGAATAAGTCCCTTTGAACTACTGTAATCGAGAAGATTTGAAGCGGATAGAATTCAGCTGTTGTTATCGCCTCTGATTAAAAGGAGAGACTCAAGATGTTAGGGTTACTGTGGCGGTGGTGGTGGGTAGTGTTTGGGTAGTCAACCCGGAAGAAGAAAGGAGAATGGAAGCGAAGCGGGTCGGATTGGGTTGGGTTGGAGGGTCAGCCTTGTGGGTCGGTAAAAGTTGAGTTCGGGTTACTGAAACTTTAATGAAAACGGTTTGGGATAACCCCCACACCAGAATGATCTCCTTTTTTTAATGATAAACAATTCTACACCGGTTTAATGTTTATTGAAATTCACTACATATTTAATGGTTGTGATTATCATTTTTATTTTTTAAGTCAACTAGCATTACCCTTTAATGATAGATGGCTAAAAGAAAATAATGATAAATTTCATCTACATCCTCTGATATTTGACTAAGTAACACTAATACCCCTCACATTATAAAAATGGCACAGTGACTCCTTGACATATACATTGTTCAGTTATCATCTCTCTAATTTTTCTCAAAAATGAAGTATTAAACCTTCAAAAAGCGTTAAAACTATGGTATTGTTAATACACATTTCTTTTGACAAAAAAAAAGTTAATATGCAATTTTTGCACACCCTTTCTGTAATACTGGTATAGATCAAAATAAAAAGGATCACATCATATTCAATTCATCTATCTATATAAACCATACATCTCCTAAGATTTAATAAAATCAAGCTTCTTAAATAAAAAGATGAGTGGAACTAATTGCCCAAAAGCAATAACCAAGATGCCCAAAAGCTTCTTAAATCAAGCTTTTTATTTTTTTGACTTGATTAGGATGGACGAGTTTTATTTTTACTACATGGACACAAGTGTTGGAAGGATCCACATAGCCAAGAATCAAATATTTCATTCAAAAGCATTTAGATTGAGGTGAAAGACCACACTTGTTTCTGTGCCATGGTTTCTGATTAGCTCAGATTTAGATCAAGTCTGAACCCAAATTTAGATTAGGTCAGAGTGTAGTTTATGAGTTGAACCCAAATCATCAAATGGCAGGTCAATCTCAACTCATGGGTTCAGTTCAATCCAGAAGTCTAAGAGACCCCGGAGGACCAACACACTTGAGGAGTAATTACCAGGATAATCACTATTCGGAGATTGAGACAATCTTTAATTGTTTTTATCCTTAGCTGTAACTATCCTTCCCAAAGGACTAGTAACCTATCTCTCTACACACCATTTACACATCTATCTCTCTCCTTGCTACCCAACCTCTCACAGTGCTTACCTTTGCCCTCTCTCTCTCTAAAAGTCTCAGGCTACCGTTGCCGCCTTTGGAAATGGAGTAGATCCCCTGGACCGAATCACTATATATTTGTGTATTACTTGTGTTGACCCAATCTCTATCTTATTCATTAATTACTTTATTGATTGCTTCATCAATTACTATGAATCATACACTCAACTATTAATTGTGCAAAAGCTTATTTTATGTATCATCAGTTTGGCGCCGTCTGTGAGGAATCGATTTGATTCTCACCCACAGTCTTCCTATCTTCAATGGAAATCACAACCAGATCCATGAACAGCCAAGCAGAAGATGTCACGCCACATCATGACAAGGTCCTGCCACCACCGACGAAAAGTAGACATGAGAAAATTTTACTTAAAAATCAAATTCTGTTAAAAGTAAACATTTTTTGGGAAAATTTGGTGCCCAAACCGGCTTTAGGAGTTTGATTATCGTACATCTCAAAAAAATATCCAGATTCAAAAAAAAAAAAAATTCTTCTCAAACGGACGACCGAGAGCAAAGTTATGGTCGTTCGAAGTTTTGCATTTTCTTCATCATTGTCTAATACTCAACCTAGCAGCAACAACGCCAGTAGCAAACCCTGTGTGAGTTCTAGTCCCTCCTGGCGTCGCCCAGACCTTGTTCTTGGCATTAGCCAAGCACCTGCACCCAACGCCTTGAGCCGCTCAACTGCTCCCCCACCGAAGGCGTCGCGCACTGCCCTGCGCAATGGCATCACCCACTGGTAGCTGCACGAAGGTGTCGCCTGCCTTGCGCCTTGCCTCATTGGCCACGCTTCCAACACCCAACACGTTGTCCAAGTTGCCTGGCGTCGCCCAGCTGGCATCGCCGTTCGCACCTACATCGCCCAAACCACCATAGCGTCGCCCAGCACCTCAACACTAGTAGTGAATTTGCTTGGACCAATGCCCCTACAAGCATTATAGCCTCTAGCATAGCCAAATGGCCCACTGGCGTCACCTCCTACTCCATGGGCGTCACCCAATTGACCACTAACATAGCTTACTACAGCGTCACCCAAGCTTGCTAATGGCATCGGCTCTTGCTCCAAGGGTTTCGCCCACATCTTCGGCATCCACACCTTCAGTGCCTAGCGCCCCTGGCAGTAGTTTGGTGCCTCCTCTGCGCTTGCAAGGCATCGCCCAGCTTGATGCCACTTTGCATCTGTATGGCGTGACCAACCTACCTTAACTTGGCATCTAGCTGCCTCGATTGACC